TCTTCACAGATTCAAAACTGAAGACTGCAATTTTTGCCACTTTACTTACCCACTGGCTTCTGGTGGAAACCTTACAACCACTTTTCCCATCTCAGCACCTGGTAGTTCCATAAACTTTCCCTCTTCCTTTCTCCCACTTCTACCCACAACCTGATCAGTGATACCCAATTTGGGCTTTGCTTCATCAGGAAGAGATGTAAGAAATGCTTGGACGTGGCCTAATGATTTTATGAAATTGTACCAACGGATTACATTTCCTGGAGCTTTTCCATTTACAACTGAAGAATCCCATTGCTGACTACCTGTTAGATAAATAAATATAACCACTGCAGTAAGAGGAAAACTACCAAACCCTTTATGCAATGAAGAAAGAAGTCTTGTGTTATTAGTTTAAATAAATACACTCATACAGCACAAATATTTCATTCGAAAACTGCCACTGTGTTATGTTTCCATTAACTTCTGATCTCAATTGGTCATTGCACAATATCAGATATATAAGACTACATAACATTATACAATAGGAGTTTGTTTACTGGAAAATATCTGGTCATCAAATTATTTAGCAAAGTCATTATAAAATTCTAAATATGTGCTTTGCAATTTTACATGTACTTACAATATAATGCACCAAAAACTGCAAAATCAGCAATAGTGAGTTTATTAGCAACAAGATATGTGATGGGGCCAAGAATTTTGTTCAGGTATAGAACTGCTTCTTCAAATTCTTTGGCACACAACAACGGCCCAATGCTGAATGTCAACCAATGATCAATCTGTAAGACAATATTTTTAACTATGATTATTAGCAAACTCCAGAGATCACTGTCCTTTTGTATATTCAAAAAGACTGTACCAATGAGTCTTATCCTGAGTCAGGATAATCCAGTCTAAACCCCCATACCTTATTTCTTCAGGAATTATTTTAATATTATCCCCTCCCCCCCCCGCCCCCATACATCTTAGTCTCCCAAACTGTTTATTCCCTTCCGGTTTTCTAACCAACATTTTTATGCATCTCTAATCTCTTCCATGTGTACTACATGTCCCACCAACTTCATCCTTCTTGATGCAATCATCTTAATTTTTATGAATAGTAAACGTTATGAACTTCCTCATTATGCAGTTTACTCCATTCTCCTACCCCCCTTACACATTTTCCACAGTACCCCATTTTCAAATACCCTCAATTCTGTTTTTAAATGTCAGCTTAGCTGTTGCCTTGTGTTTAAAAGTAATATTATTCACTCCTCCAGATGGTGTAACTTCAGCTTGTACTGGACCACTTTCTGTAGTGTTCAACTAAAGTATGAATTTGTAAAAAGAAAGTAAAGAATGTTAAGTGCAAAGAACAAGGATTTACCTCAGTTCGCTCAAGCACAGTACTTCCATACAAACCATATGAACTTGCAATTCGAGCAAGGTATCGGCTGATAGTAGAACTTGTATTGAAGGAGATGTCACTTGTTACTTGTAAAGTAGTATCGCTTCCCCATTTTATTGTAACAGGAGTGGTATCTTTAATAAAATTCGCAACTAACAAACAACCTGAAAGAATCCAGCTTTAATTAACCTACAAATAAAAACTGTCCGACTCAATTCGACACAGAAAACAATATGTTAATTTTAATCAGTGATAAAAAGGATAAGGGTGGTGCATGTAGGTTAGATTGGCTTACAATAACAAGTTCCTTTCAGTATTTTGCTTTTGTCTTAAAGTGGGCAGGTTAAGAAGATCAAAACACGAAAAATGATCCCACTTTTATGCATAATCGAACACAACACCAAATGGGGAAACTTCTGTCATGTGGAATGACGGTACTTCATAAAGTTCTAAAGTTATGCAAGTGATAAACACCACTGTGCATCCGATTTTCCTTACCAATTGGTGGACTTGATGAACTTGCGACAACAGTTAATGACATTCTGACTACCAAACTTTGTGTAGATGAATATTTATGACCACACTATAATATCGCAACTATATAACCCTTGAAGACGGAACAGGCCAAAGGTCTAAACCGTGAAGTTGAAGAAGAAGAAGACAACGAATAGCCACCACTTTTCCAAATACAAAGTCACAGATTATTACACCTCAAATGTTAAGTAAGAACTTATAGGGCACTTGGAGGGCAAGGTACCACCGTGCCGAATATGACGCCACCTGTGAATCGTTTATATGAAAATACGGCTATGAGGGTGTAAGCGGTTAAACTACTCCTTAACCTTCAAAGACTTTCATCCCCGATGACAGATGCGATCAACGTCAGAGTAGTACTTCTGTCTTCAGAGTGAAAATGAGTATGTTTCTACAATTCTCACAAGGAATTTATATTTGCCCCATATCATGCCTTAGTTTTCGCTTTATAACAATATGCAACAGTCACACACATTGAATGAGAATAATTCATTATATTTAGACATTAAGAAAGCTTCATATCAAATGATTTAGGGTTTCAAAGAAATCCTGACCCTTCATTGGATGAATTAGCTGTATGTACCTGTTTCATTTTTATGTGACTAAAGATATGCTACTGAAATTTTAAGGACACACTAATTTTACAATAAATCATAAAGAAGAAGGCATGGAGTAGTGAGGAAAACAATAGAAATATTCTCAGCTTATTATCATTATTATTATCATCATTAATAAGTATAAAATGGAATACATTTCCCCTTGCTGTGATGTAGCTTTTAACATTGACACATACACAATCACAGTTACATGATTACATTACAATAAATAATTTATTCCTTGCAATATTAATCAGGTCTTAATTTAAAATCCTATTAAACACATGTATAAAAATAGATGATTATATTAACCTGAGGATCAATGAGTATACAAACAGGCTAAATAATATACATAATAACATTAAAATTTGAACAAGATGCATAGTGAAATACCAAAATATGAGATAATATTATATAATGTTCCAAAAAGTAACACTATAATTTTTACAAAGTCATAGAACTTTAGCTATTATGAAGAATTATAGAAAATAACCCCCCCCCCCAGACATGCATTCGTCTCCCTGTTCATACTAGAGTACAATTTAAGCATGCAAATAATGTCATTGTTTATCTGTTATGTTACTTCATAAAATTAGGATTTCAAAAGGTCAGTGTCTAGCTCGTTTGTGTCCTTCCATGAACATTGCACATTCAGCTTCTGTATCTTTTAACTTGCTAGTGGAAGCACTTCGTTTTCGAGATGGGGTTGTAGTTGGTGATTGTTGCTTCAGTGTTTCAACGTCATTGAAGATGACTTGTGCACCACCTCCAACAGTAGGAACAACATCAGCCTGAAAAGAAACCACTTATTGACAAACAATGACAAAGTAAACTTTTTTGTTACTAATGCATCCAGTTATGGTCTTGTGAGGATCCTGGTCTATACCCACTTGTTAAGGGTGAAGCAATTCACTTCTAAATCAGGCATTTACAGGGCAGGATTCAGTCTGCACATAACAATGATTATGACAATTGTGGCTGGTACAGGGAATTTTCACTTTATATGAACATCTTACCATAGTATGGACTTGGAATTCCTAATATTTATAAAGCTTTGACTTTGACAAAAATGAAGAGTAAAATGCCTGTGCATGTCTTTGTCATGTAGCTCTGTTCTATACATATACACAGCCAACTTTAATCAAGCCAGTAACCTTGTAGAGGTGTGTTTCCAGTTCTCCACTTGAATCTTGTTCTTGAGTCATTAGGCAGTATTTTGATGTTTTAGAATTGGCAATATCTTTCACGTCTGTCAATTTTGTAACAGATTTATACCGTTTCATAAGCGGTTGCATCAGCGTACTGAGTTCAATTGCAGGAACTGGCCTGTGCTCCAACCATGTCCCATCTCCTGCTGACTGAGATCGTCTATGTCTTCGATTACTTACAGCTGGTCCCTGTTGTAACAAATAAAAACAGATTCTTACAGATGTTTACCTTAATTAGTAGTATATCATACTACAGGTTACAGTCACATGGTGCTGTTTTCTTTATGCTTAGTTTGGCCTTTAAAAGTGCTAAATGTGCACATGCATTTTAGATTTTTATGCAGAAACAGTTCTCAGTTCTCAAAAAGACCAAAAGCATGCTGACAAATTTATAAAATGAACCAAATAAGAAATTAATGAACAGCTATTTTATGACTTCATGACAGTGTTCTTACATAAATGAATAGGCATATGCTTATGCAAATTTCACATACAAAATTTATTTTTTATTCGGATCACAATAATGATATTCTTATATTTTGTTAATATCTCTCTGCCTACAGTATTCACAAATACAATATCCCATTTTGTATGCTTTTGTACATACCCTTTTACAGCTCTGGGATGAGAATACATGTGAGCTGATATTTGTTTTTAAAACTGGGGGTTTGCAAATAATAGCCAAAGATTTTGTAGACTGCCTAGGAGCATGGGTGGACAAACAGCTATCTTCTGTCAAAATTTGTTTCACCTTCCTCAACTTCTGCTCTTGATATCTCATTTGGGTCTGGAAGTAATTGAAAGATTTTACAAAATTCTTTTGATGCTCACAATACACTGATAACACAGGATGATGGTTTCATCATAAGGTAAATCATAATGCTTACTGTATTTAGTATATAGATTTTAAACTGAAGTAAGTAGGATATAGCAAAGGGAAAGGATTGATATACACAATACTTTCTTTCTACCTAAGCACCATACAATAAATGTAGAGAGTGTGGAGGTAAGTCACATACACTCAACAAGAGAATAAGTTGGTCAAAGAACTGTTGTCGATGTGATAATGCCCACTCTACAAAGCTCTACTCAGCCAGTCAGAAACCCACGCGCACTTACAAGAGACAGAAAAGGAATACGGAAGTATGTTTGTCTGCAAAATCTACAGTATTAAAATTATATGTCTTATTCTGTGTAGTCTCACCTTTAACACAGACTCTTGTTCCTTCAAGTTTTTCAGTGTAAAGAATGAATTCTTATCTTTATCAACTTCAGTTCTGTCACTGTACTCCTTTCTCAACCGTTCTTTTTCAAGAAGTTCTTGTAAAAGAATTTCTTGATTTTCAAGCTGAAGTAAAGACAAAATTATGTGTTTATAGAATGTGATATATGCATTAATTGCCACACATTCTGTAACCATTCCTGCCAGATTAAAAATTCAAAAAATTAGAATTTCTAAATTTAGACCTTGAAATTCTAAATGAATTACTTATTCATGGACCGTTACACCTCAACTTTAAACGAAATACAATGCCAATAATGCAAATATATTAACAAAGTAATAATCAGAGTGCTGACTGCAGTGACAACAGTACATGATTCTTTTGGTTTTCTAGTAGTCCAGTTAAATTAATTTTCAGAAAACCCCAAACAAAACAAAATTATATTAATGGAAAACAATACATGTTGAAGCAGATTACTTTGTGTTAAATTGTTTTAAATTTCTGTTACTGTTCTGAACTATTTCCATTTATCACGAAAAACTTTAAATGGGTATTCTTGAGACTGGAAACATTTTTTGGTAAAGAGGGGTTTCCATTCACTATAGGTTCTATTTAGATATGTTTTACTACAGTATACTTACTTCTTGCTTCAGTGTAACAAGAGTGACTTCCTTCTCTTCTACCTGTTGCTCAAGATTCATCACATATGATTCATAACCAACAAGTCTTGCTTCTAGGGCACTTATCTGAAAAGCAGAGAAACAGACAGACACCATATTGCAAGCATTCATTTCAGAGAATATTTTCTGCTGAAATCACCATAGGAAATGAACACACAATGTTCAACTACATTCATGTATACAGTATTTTTAACAGGTTATTAAAGAAAGTATTTAATAAAATAAATACTATTTCTTCCCATACTGTTATAACAATATGCCCTTGCCTGAATGCTTTGGCTACAGCTCCCTTACACTACAGAGACATACCATTCCTGTGATACAAGCAGGTTTTACTTCATTCTGTGTATCCCCACTACTTTCACAAACAAGCACAGAACAAAAGTAAACTTCTGGCTGCCAATATGAACTTCTTTTAGTAACAGAGCATAAACAGGAAGAGAGAAATTTGAAAATGAGTTGAAAAAGGATACAAGCCAGACCTTCAAAGTATAATTTATAAAAGATAAGTCCAACAGAATTATTACACACAATACTGTAAATGTTGGGTTGAATCAAGTGGATGAAATTAAACACAAATGAGACTGGGAGGAGTGAAAAAGATTTTTAGGTTCACACACGTGGGGCTAGGGCTTCCCATATATTGACATTTAAGATACAAGAATAAGAACGAATTAAATATGAGATGATTATTCCTTACCTTGTTCCTTCCTTGCTCTACAGCAGTTTTCAAACTACTGCATTTCTGTTCAGCCAACAATTTCTCTTTCTCTACTTCCGTTAACCTTTTATAAAAGTCTTGATCTATAAAAACAATTTATGACAACCCAGTTAAGTAATAAAATGAAACAACTGTACAAACAAAATATCTAAAATTGAGTATTAAAGAGCTTCATCACTTGCAATCTCCACAAAATATATAATGGTAAGCAAATTAAAGAGAATGAGGTAGACAGGTCATGTAGTATAAAACATGAAAGATGTGGGGAATGCAGAAGTTACATAAATGTAAAAAAGAATTCAGAATATCTTAAGGGAAGACTGGAAGACCTCAGTGCAGATGGGAGGATAATATTAATAAGGCTCTTAACAGCATGTGAAGATGTGGACTGGAATCATCTGTCAATGAGAAGGGTCCAATGGTGAGTTTGTGTTAACATAGTAATTAACCTTGGCTTCTATAAAGGTTGGAGAACTTATTGAGTGACTGTCAGCTACTAATGGAAGGACTTACTCTGCTTCACAGAGTTAGTCAAAAATTATAAACAAATAAAATATTTTGCTCTACTTGCTATCATTTTTCCTATAACTAAATAAATAATGAATTTACTTAATATAAGAGCATTTAATAATATTAAATATAAATGAAATAAACAATGGTAAAATCCAGTACTTACGTTTTTGATGCCAGTCTTTAAGTAAAATATTTTTCCTGTTCATGCGTAACTCAAGGAACATTGCCAAGTCCTTAATTAGTGTATCCATGCTGGGGTCAGTTAGTTCCAAGCAAGGAAGTGCAGGTAACAAACTGCACATGAAACAAGTGGAATACAGAATTAGCCTGAAGTTCCCAAATTAAATATTAAAGTAAGTCTCATACATTGGAATTTGAGTAACAGAATCTCTATCATTTGCCTGTCATGGCCTATGTGCAGACCAGCTGTTTGTGCATCACCAGTAAACTATTATCTCTCGAGCTAAAATCTGACCAGCAGTCCTATAGGGGTTTAAATATCCATTTCTCATATTATACAGGTTACTCTCATTGACTGCCATTGTTTTAACACATTGACTGCCATATTTTTAAATTCTGTCCTTGCTTTTATCTTTTAGAAAGCAGAACTGGGAAAGAGGACACTGAATAGTATAGTTGTATAAAACAGTACTAGGTTTGTCAAAGTAATCAGTATGTTAACTGTATATAGGTTTCACAGAAGCAGAAATGTGTATTGTGATACAACATAATCTTGTTGATGGTTACCTATGCTCCTCCAAAATACAGGAATTATCTACATGATTACATGGTGTCACAATCCAGAAGACCATACTCCACAAGAATATTAACCATTCTACTATAGAGCTCAAAAAATGAAAAATAAAAGTGGCTGGTGCCATTGTAACAAGGCAGTCAGGAAAGCTTTTAACAAACTTGTTTTGGAACCCACCTATACACAATGCCAATGTCAACGTCAATATCTGAAGTTTCCTTATGACCATTATCTTCCATCTTCTGCAAGGCTTGTTTGAAGATCTGAAGTTTGGAAGCAAAATATCTTATTTGGACACATATCAATTATCCTTAGAAAATACTTGTAATATTACCAACTAAAACAAACTGCAGTTTAGTTTATCAGTAACATTAATCTAAATTATGTAATTTTGTTAACTTTTACCAGATACCAGTTTATATTCAGACCCAGACATATGCAGATTCAACCATTTAAATTCTGGCATATTCCCAGAGTGAAAAAATTAACAATTAGAGCTAACTTCATAATTCAGAATCCAAAATAATTCAGATAACCAGCTAATAATGAAATCCAGTTTTCAGATTCAAACATTTTTAAAGCAAAATTAAACAAAATGTACGAAATTTAATTACTACAGCATGAAGAAAGGTATGGCATGCCTCTAGTTCATAATGGGAAAAAAACTGAAAGGATATGTTTTATCTACCATTACACACCACATTACTCATTATGTACCTATATGTGATTTAATATTGACAGTAAACAAATCACACACTACCACACCCAACAGAACTTACATGGCTTGCTTTCCTCCTGCCAGGAGCCAATCCAAAATCCAGTTTCCTGATTGCAGGCTGTGATATTTGAACTTCTTGTGTAGTTTCTGTAAATTTCATTACTTGCTGTAACACACAAGTCATGGAGTGAATTAAGCATGTAATTTAAAGAAATATTCACCAAGAATTGCTTACATGTATGTACATATGTAAAACTGTAACTGGGTTTAGTACCATAACTTAACACAGTGACTGAAATGGTTGTTTGAAATCAGTGGAAACAGTGATTTCATTTAATTGTCCAATTCAATGTTTCTCAGCTTCTGCTCCATGGACTGCTGCCATTCAACAAATTTCAGTTTTCATATAATGCAACATTTTTCCCACAAATGCAGAAATAACTATTTTGTAATTACCAAATGTTTCTTTCTTTCCCTTGTGATAGGCCAAGCACCATGGAAGAGGATATAATTTAGAGGTTGGCGACTGAATTCCTTAGGAATGCTGAGGCAGAGATGTGCTACAAATCTCAAATAGTAGGAAGACAGCTGACAATTTATATTGTTTCATATACTTTCAATTTCAAGAATAAATATGGACTGACACATTTTTATTACATTCTATGGATCCATAAGTTAGCCAGATGACAACAGAGTGTGGAAAAATTCATAATACAATACACAAATTTCTTTAACTATCACAATTTTACTTACAACTGTTTCATCATAATCTTCAATACTGGGATTCAAACACACAATCATTTCCACTTGACCTTCTCCATCAAAGTAATTTTTGAACAAGAGAGTCATTTTTGAATCTCTGTAGGGCACCATTTTGTTGGCTCCATACAATTGGTTTTCTCTCAGAATTTCCAAGCATGTTCTAAGAGTCATTAAGGAATTGTTGATATTCCCTACAAGTAAAGGCAGATAGCATAAAGAAAGTGACTATATACTAACTGAAGCAGGAAATAACTAACTCTATAAATCCAATCTCAGCCACTATAGAGAAATTAATAACTGCTTAGCTTACTTACCTTCTATGGATCCTACAGGCACATTACTAGTTTCACAACATCCAGCCTCTAATCCACATACTGGCCAAACAAATCTATCCAATGATCTAGCACTCTTTTTCTCTAACATTAATTTTTATATAATCTTCCATCTACATCTAGGTCTTCCAATAGTCCCTTACTATTATTAAGTGTTCTGTCTTACGACAGGTCCATTGCTCTGCCCAAAAAGAGCTCTCCAGTTGTCCCTATTCTCGGCTTCTCGCTTTAATTCCTGGAACGTCATCTTCTTTCCTTGTTTAAGGTCGTCGGTTAGCTGTATCAGTCTTCTTCCCAGTCCTCGCTTTCCTTCAACCTGGCCTTCGATGATATCACTCAGTAACCCATTCCTTCTCATAATATGTCCCAGCCAGTTAGCTTTCCTTCGTGTAATCGCTTGCAGAATGTTTCTTTGCTCGTTGACTCTCCTCAATACCACCCATTATATACAATAGATAAATTACGACTTACTTTCAGTTCAATTCAACTTAATTTTATTCTTGGTCAAAACATTGACATAGGATACATCTTTCAAATACATAGCTCACAAGTTATATCAATATTACCACACAATACAAATACAATTCATAGAATGCACTACTCAAATACTCTCTTCTGATTTACATGACATGTATTCATCTACCGAATAAAATGTATGTTGTAATAGGTAGGACCTCAGCTCGTATTTGAATGTCCTCATTTTCTCCACTTTCCTAATTTGACTTGGTAATTTATTGTATAGTTTTATTCCTATATTCACTACACCTTTCTTGAGAACATTCCTTCTACAGAACTGGACATGGAGGTCCAACATTTGGTTTGTGTTATGGTTATGGATTTCAGTGTTTTGTTCTAATTTATCTATATGCAGCTTTATGTGGAATATTATTTCAATTATATACATGCATGCTAATGTGAATATATTTAAATCCTTAAACAGTTGTCAATATGATGTATATCTCCCCACACCACTGATTATTTGTATAATCCACTTTTGTAGTCTAAAGACACTTTCACAATATATTAGAAGATACAGCACCAAAGGATGAACAAGGAATAATGAATTTGAAAAGATGTTGACAGAAGTGATCATGACCTAATATAAGGTAATATCCTGGGATTTGCTTGGATGGACTGAGGAAAAGCACAAAAACTTCAACGAAAGTCAGTATATCAGCCTGGGATCTCCTTAATAAAATACACTTGACTGCAATGTTTTGTCCACATCTGTCCAACATGAGGAAAAGTCACTTGCTGGAACAGATGAAGCCCTTTTCACTGGCCCATGCTGCTGATTATATTAGTTTTGATGGCATGTTTCTAGGTGACAGTGCATGCCAATGTCTCAAAGGCAGCAAAATATTATTTTGTTTACAGATGTTTTTCTGTTTTGTTTCTTGGTGTTGAAATATATTAATACAGGCAACTAACAATATTTTGCAAGGAGGTTCATGTTTCTGCAACTAGTAGTGTTAGACCTCATTTCTTAGTACAAGAGGGGGTAGGGGTGATTGTTTACTCCTCTGATCATGGGATAAAGAATATGTGTACATTTTTCAATAGATTCTGTAAAATTTACATGTAAAAAGAACTTCAGTGATAGACTTCAAAGTGTTTAGAAAGTGTTCAATAAAATGTGAACAAATTATATGTGCAAAAGATTATTTCTTCAATATAACATTTCAAAACAGGGGAACAAAATAAATTTGGACAAATATGTAAATTCTACATGCAAATAAACAAGTTTACCTGCTTCCCGAAGCCTTTGCCCACTATTCTTTGTTCTATTTGTTCTTTCACTCCCAGCCAAGTCCACTAAGGATAGCTGACTGATACACATAGCCTTCCTGTCTTGAAAAACATGTTCTCCTTGACTATCAAGTGGTGCCTAAAATCAAAGCACATATTCATACAGAGCAACTTAAACCTTAAGAATATTTGTTATAAATTAATGACTGTCTAGAACTAGCACAGACCTGCACTAATCTGATAGTGAAGACTGAGTGGCTTCGACTAGACTCAGAATTTAAAGTAGTAATAGCCATTCTTTTCCTCTTTTGTCCTTTGTTGAAAGCATCAAATGCTTCTTCAGTTGACTTTACTTCTATTTCTGTCACAGAATGTACATACATGTTGTGACTTGCATCCTCTCTCACAATCTTTGACTGAAACTGCCTGTAAGACAATATTCAAATCACATAGCATGCTGAAATATTTGTAAACACACATATTCTGTTTTGAATATTTTAACATTTTTATAAATACATTAAGTTACAGTTTCAAAAAGCATCAGAGTCAGTGTATGTGATGATACATAAATCAAGGAACCAATCTTTCAGAGGAATACATGAATCTATTTGTGAGTAAATGAACAGAAACTTTTATAAAAAATTATGGATTAAATTAAAATAGCAACAGAAATATTCCACTGGTATGCAAGGATTGTTCAGTCTACAGTACCGTCAACTGAACAGAGAGCCCTAAGTGCATTTTATACAACCATCTAAATACAAAATAAACCAAAAGATATGGTCTTGTTTTAAGATCTTAAACAATTGAAGATGTCCGGAAGAACAGCAATATTGAAAACAAGAGAAAGCCTGGCTTTATGGTCAAGTGAAGATTTTACTTAATGATTCAAAGTCAACACAACACTGATGATAAAACAGAGCTCCACCAACAAGAATTACTCACCTTGATCTTATAATATCCTCAGGGACATTTTCTAGAAGGTCATAGACAGCATTATTATAAATTTCAACGTAAGTTACAAAGACAGCATAAGAGTTATCTTCCACAACACTTTCAATCTTTGTGCCATCTGGTATCCGCTGGCTTAAGTCTACATCTGATTCTTTCCTGAAACAAATGACCCTGTAAAGACACTTGACTCAATTAAATTCACATCCTTTATTTGTGTTTATCAACAACAAAAAACCTATGACAGGCAAAAACTAATAAATGTATAATGTTTAAGCTTTATATCCATAATCTACGTATATGTAAAGCAAGTTTTGTATTTATATTTAAAATTCTGAGGTTTATGTATATTAATTTGTAATATTATTTTTCATACTTGTATTGCAGAATCTGAAATTTATGTACATTGATATGTGAAACACATTTTTGTACTTGTGTTGAAGGTTCTGAAGTGTATGTATATTGTATGAAATGACATGTTCTACATCCTTTGGTCTTAAGAAGGATCTATGGAATGTAAATAAACTAAACTCTACTCTACTCTATTCTATACACTGAACAATAATAATAACAATAAATACCACTATTGCCACCAGACAAAATATGGCCATATAATAAAGGCAAGAATGAAAAACACAAAAATCAATAATTATTTATATACACTACCTCAGAATATATGCAACAATGATAGAGAATCAAAATAACCATTACATCACAATAAAGACAACAGGAATTCTTGAATGTAAACTTTCAGCAATGAATAAGCATTGTTAATATACCTAAATGAATCTAAGATAGTAAGCCTCGATGTCCATCACAGAACTTAACACCACTACAACTATGCTGCTGAAACGCTTTAGCATGGAAGTGTATCCACATACAAGAGAAAGCATTTTATTGATAGCACAACTACTGACTATGGTTATAGCATAACTACATCAGAATATCACACAAGCAAAAGGTTAGTGGTCATTTAATTCTAGACATATCTCAAACACAATTGTTATTGCATGTATAAAATCTTCAGTGTTTTGCATACCTTACATGCTGTTCATGGACTTCTTTGTAACAACAGAAATCCACATACTTTATAATTTATACATATTAAAAAAAACCTTTATCCTCACATGGTCGACTCTCAGTACCCTATTTACATTTTGTGATCTTGTTCTACTTACTTCCTCAGTGTTTTTAGTGATCTAGCACAGTGTATTTCATTCTGGCAATCTAGTACAGCATCTGTCTCACTCTGAATATCAAAGTCATTCATTTTATCGGGTTTAAAAATAAACTTCTTGGCTTGATAACTGGATATGCTATTAAAAATGACATCTAAACATCGTGGCATTATTCCTCCATTATGTGGCTCTCCAGCCATTGTGAAAGTTTTACCACTACCAGTAACTCCATATGTAAACAGCAGGCCATTCTTGCCATGGATTAGATTCTCTACCAATGGTAAGGCCACATGATCAAAAACTTCCTTCTGGGTGGCTTTGGCATCAAACACATATTTGAATGTGTGGTGGATTTCTTTACAATTTGCCAGACGATGACTACCTCTTGTCTCTGGTGGGAGAAGTGAAAGTGTTGTTTGTGATGTCACTTTAACACAGGATTCTTCATTATTATGAAGTGGTCTTATCCGGCAGAATACTTTCACAAGATCTTTTGAGCCTGGTCGTACTTTTACAGGCGTTTTCTTTGATGAAAGCTTGTATCGCCTAAAAAGGGAGCATAAACTTATGGTCAGGAATATTCAGAAACACCCACATTCATTCATTTTTTTACTTGTAGTCCCTAAATGTTTTGGTTTCACTATTTGGATTTAGAAAATAAAAAATCTTTTTTTGTCAGTTGAATAAACAATAACATATAAATTTCCGGCCTGCCACTGGCTCTCCAAATTACACCTCATTTTCAATCTTCTAAAAGTTAAGAACTTCAGTTTCATCTATTACAAAACTTACACCATTTAATAATTCAGTGATTCTAGTTTCAAAAATTATACTCAATGCCAGGGAACTTTATAATTTAGAATGGTAAATTCATTAATGCAAAGATCTGCTCACAATTCTTTAAACAGTACTTAGGTTTATTAGCAGCTCTCTCAGTTGCACAAAATGAGGTAAAGAGAGTACAAACATCAATTAAATAAAAAGCTTAGTCACTAGGCATTTTGTTTTTTAAACTTAGTACATGAACCCTCTTTTCTCTTCCAGCATATAATTTGGGTGTAGAACTGATCGCAAAGAAAGACTTTATTATGCTTTAAAAATATGAATTTCTTAAAACGGTATTTCGAAGGTAGGTCTAATTCATACGTACTGCATAAATATCATTGGCATTTTTTCCTGAACTACAGTTCAATCTGTCCAAAGGAATATACTGAGTTTTTACAACTTACGCCGGTTTCATGCTAAAGCCTGAACTACTGTAAACTGCACGAAACTCTACAGAGAGAACTTCCACACCAGTCGTCATGTACCACTTAAATTTGAAGTCTGACACTTGGTAATGTGACGCAAGGAAATGCCAATTAATAGGAATGAAAATTCATGGAATATTTTAAATTTTGCGCCGTTAAGTTGGTCATATTGAACAGGATCATATTTGTAAGATTTCAGGGTTTCATCGCCCTGATGACGGAGGCAGTATGACCTCTGAAACGTTGGTTAAAATCGACCAGACTACACAGTGCAACAACCCAGAAGACAGAAATCTTCAGGGTCATATTTGACTCCAATGAAAGATGGCGTGTTCAGAGGGCGCGAGTTTCAAGCTTTGTGTGCGAAAGTATGTTTCCTGACGTTTCTCTTGCGGTTTTTCAGTCACAGTTTGTCAATATTCGCAGCCTGAGATTTGTGATCAGTTTATTGAAACAGATATCCAACGACTTTGGAAGTAAGTCATAATTAATACTAATTTAGGCTGAGGATCTCACGGTGGCGTGTAGTCTGGTAGAAGTAAAGTTCTACCAAGCTACACGCTACAATGACCTAGAAGACCGCCAGCTAATTGCTGTGGTTTTGTTTCTATGCCACGTTTTTAATCCAGTAGCTACAATGTTTAGCCACCATTCTAAGAATACAGTTATCCACTGAAGTGAGTATCCAGATGGATTACGTCACACCATTTAATTCATAACATCGCCACACCAGTGTGCTCAGTCGACTTCCAAGATAGTTCTGATTTGATATAAGTTTCAGGGCTAGCTTTCCTGTTTTTCTTTGTTGGTGCCGGTTTAAATGTAGTGATAAAAATTTATCCTTCGTGAACACGGATGAACAGTTATGACATATATCACGTGTGTGTTGGAAGGGAGAATTGTTATTTATATGTAATTTTAATTGCTTTGAAAATATGGCCGCCTGTTCATTAGCTAAGATCTTTCAGTGTCGTGTGAGCGCGGGAACCTATATATGCTTACGTGCTTTGCAAGTGTTGTGCCAGTGGATCTTGATTTCTTCGACAGTATAAAACAACAGTCTGCTAACCTACTTTGGGAGGTAAGACATCTTTAATGTATCAACTAGGACCACAAACTAGTAGTTTACAAAATTTCAGTAATGCTTGTTAGGTTAGAAGTATATTTGCTTTTGCAAATCGTATAGAAGATGATTATTCTGCTTTAAAGCACATCGATGTTTTTAATATTTTGGAAGAGGTTGTGTCAAGTTAATTTTCTATTTCCAAGATATTTTTATGACCATAAATTGCCAACATACTAAATACACGTACTGAACAATCCGGTAGCAATATATTTGGCTTATATTTGTTAATGGGAAGATTCAGTTATGATATGACGTGTTGCCCGATGAACAGGGACGTCCAACAGAAGTTACTCGGTATATATAATATGAAGACTGTTATCTTCATATTATACATATATATATCCGATAACCATAAATACTTTACCATTTCACATGCTTGACTTGGGGGGCCTGTGTTGTGATTATCCAATCAGCAGTCCACGGACCACATAGTTAAATATTACGGGATTCTGATTGGCAGAGAATGCTAGAAGGATTTTCAAGACATAGCCACAGAACAGGATTATTATAGATAACTTTCATGTCCGATTTCTCGCAACTGTGCCGGTGATACACATCATTATTTGTAGACGTACGCATCAACAGAATATGTAATTAGCATATGCACCCTAACAAAAGCACTCATTTGGTGTCAGCGGAATGCAGCAACACCGAGATGAAAGGTAAAGCAATTCCATGATGTTAAGGAACTTGAAAGTCCATCACCATCACTAAAATAATTGCCGCGAGTCTATTTTCTTGGGAATTTAATCTTGTAACCAATATCCGTATCCATATGCTTCTCCAGATTTTGAGTGGACCTAAATTGCAGCAGAGGAGTTCTCGTTACCATTAATAGAACAGATAAAGACGTTTGTGGATATTTGTCAACGGCGCAGATGAGGCAAGCTAAGTTTTTTCTTCTTTCTAGATTTCCTTTAGAACTGAAAAAAAAACTTATTTTGTCCCTTTGTCATACTAATTGTGCTGTAGTCGGGGCAAATCTGTGCATCTGAGAACCGTTAGAAGTAAAAGGCATGGGGATCAGAGGAAGTACGTATATACTGTCCACACTGTAAACATAATATCCCAGCGGCAGTATTTAGTGGCTCGTCCCATTTCCTGTATCGGTAATGTCTGTGGTAGGGAACGCGTACAGTTTATTCCCTGGTACAGAACTTGCATTATCTTTTCCTTCCACCCACAATTGTGATTGGATTTTGCTGTCCCAGGACAGGGACCTGTGGAGGACTCCGCCGTTTCCAGCAGTCTGCCTGTTTTCCTCTCCCGTTCTGTTGTATGGTGTAAAGGATCTTGCAGGTTCCGTTCAGTTATTGCACCACATCCCTTCAATACTGTCATTGGATTTGTTTCTATGAATTCGCTTATCTTCATTACGTGTGGTCGGGGACTCATTTCGTCATCAGGGTTGTGCACACTGCTACTTCTTGTCACTGTATGACTGTCGACAGCTAACATTATACTACGTAGGATTTGAGGTTTTTACGGCAGTGAGTCTGAAGATGGCTTTCTTCTGGACTGTTTCACCGTGTAGTCTGGTAGAAGTTTACCGACGTTTCAGAGAAGTACCTCTGAAACGTCGGTAATCTACCAGACTGCCGTTCACCACTGACCTTCGTTCTTCATAAATCGCTTTTTTCCCGTATTTGTTGCGTCTTTTAGGCATTGGAAAAATTCTTTTATTATTTCTCTTACTTCTCTGGAATAATCTTCTTCCACGCAAATCTTTGACCCACCAATTTGCTCGTATCTTTAGTATTTCTATTTTTTCTTGGAAAAGTCGTAAACTTCTCAAATAAGGGTCTTTGGCTTTTACCCTATCTTAATCTTTTAGCATGGTCTGCGTGTCCCTGGAATTTTTGTACCTCCATTTTTTCCTTCATCAAGTGTTTCATTATTCTCTGTAGATCTTCATATATTTCTCCATGTTTTTCAACCAAACAAAACAAAATTTCAAATTATTTCTTCCTATCTTTTCTTCCTATGTCTCTCATTTCCATTAACACAATTCGTCCAGTTCCAACTGCATCTAATTTCTGCATCTTTTCCACGAATCTTCTAATTTCAACATTTCTTCCTTCCGTCCTATAAATTCTAATATCAGTTTTTCTAGCATGCTGGATTGACCTGGATCAATTTCCACTACACTCGCTACTAATAGGATTGTTAAAACCAATCACAAAACCACAGCTTCCTATTACAAACCTCTTTCCGTCCACCACCACCCTTCGTCTTTTTCGACCACTTCATCTACTGCAAGAGCCAGTTTTGGCCCTGTACTCTTCGATAGACACCCATTGTAACCACGATCCAACACGTCATTTACGCTGCTAGGTGACGTATGTGGTGTGGAAACGTGGACGCTACAAGGAAAGCAGAATGCAACCATTGATCGGACGTCGAATGTTACCCTTTAAATTTAGTTCAGGCATGTATAAATCGCCAGTATGCAAAGGGGTGTCGAAGAGGTTGGATATCAGGGGAATTTTTAGTGGATATTCGTGTGTAGATCAGCAGCATGTCAGGTATCGAAGAAGAGGTGGTGCATCCACCCTACAACTTCACATGGATTGTTAAAGATGAACTGGCCGCAATGGCATGCCCCAAGACACTTTTCAATATTCGTTTTCTCAAGAAAGAAGGCATCAAGCATCTTGTGACTTTATCTCCAGAGTCGGCACCACCAATCCGTACTTTTTCAGATTTAAAGTGGACCGAAATTCCTATAGAGGATCTTTCTCCTCCATCAGTCAGTCAGATTAAGAAGTTTATAGATGTGTGTCTAAAGTGTAAAACTGAAGAGCAGGTAAGTGTTCGTTATCCTTAATTTGAGTTTAACGTCCTGTTATTTGGTTATTTGATTAAGTATGAACGATTTTTTAAATGATCATGTTTGTAGCAGGATAGAGAAATGTAAGAAGGGAATTAAGCACACATAACCTAACCTCATGACAACCAGCTGAGAATGTTTTTATTTGCAACGCATTGCAGCTTGTATTTAGAATATATTTAGATCGAATCTTAGTCAGGAATTTGATTTCCCTGATTGAAGTTTCTTTCATATGCCTAGCTTGACGAAGTAATTAGTACCTATGGGTGGTTTATGACCCCTTTCACATCCCTTTCAATTCACTGTCCATGAGAATCTTTCAAATAGCTTCTGTGGTTAATACAGTGTTCTTTAGAACCTTGAATGTCAATATTTTCCATAAACTAAGAACTAAAATACATGTAATTCATTTGAGTAGATGTTTCATGTAATGTTATTTATTAGCCGTGTTAGCATTTAAATATATTTAGGCTATTGTAATAAAGTAGGATTACAAATCAATGTGATATATATATATATAATTATTAATTATGTATTTGTCACTTATGCTGTGAATATATATAAGATTACACTGGAAGTTGTTGAAATTAAATTACTATATTTTATAAAACTGGCAAAAATTTGGGACATCCACTTTCCTCTTAAGTTTATAAAATAGTGTTTATCTAGTTTCATATCAGTACTGATATCACAACTAATGTCAGTATGAATGTTGCAGAATCATAATCTTCACGTGTGTAAGGGAATGAGGAAGGATTTCACAGCACAAAACTTAAGTGAATTATAAGAACAGAATTACTGAAATATCCTTGTAGAAAGATAACACGATGAATGCAGAACTTTAAATTTAAACAAATAACAACATACTTATACTTGCATATTCATATCTGTCATACCAATGTCAATATTTCACAAGTTTCTTGGGCCCCTGCCACTTGGAACATCATATTTCTTGCTAAATGTGCATTCTTTCAGTAACCTTTAGTTTATTATGCATAGCTATAATGTGCTATCGATCCCAAGTTTTCAACCTGTTGGCCTCTGCACTAAACAGTACATTTTATGCCCAGCATATGGAAACAGGAAAAATGAAAGGAACATTGTAAGCAAATGTTTCTTTTCATAATAAGAAATAATTTAAACAGAACTCTTAACTTATCCTGACATAACAAAACATCAGTGACAAATTGCTGATATTGGTGATTCTTCCCAGTTCAGAAGCACTCATTCCTATTATAAATTAAAGCATTATACGTGAACCTTTATCCATGATTGGAATTCCTGAATGCTCACACACTTTTTACAGGTGTTCATGGATATAGAAATAAATTTATGTCTCATGGACAGGAGTGGTAAAAATATATGCTATTGCAAAAGACAGGAGGGAATGAGGAGAGGGTGTCTGACAGGAGAGGTATTGACTAAAGATAATGTAATGTCTGTAAAACCATGGGCTGGTAGCATTACTGAGATGTGTGCATGACTATTTCTGTATTGTTTTGTATTTTGGGGTGAGATTATATTAATTACAAATTGTTTCTCAGCCTGTAGGTGTCCACTGCCGCTTGGGCCAAGGAAGGACTGGAGTAATGGCTGCATGTTTTTTGGTTCATTTCTATGACCATTCTCCAGAACAAGCTATTACAAATGTACGATTGATGCGCCCAGGCTCTATAGAAACATATCAACAGGAAAAGGCAGTTTTCAAATATTGTGACTATTTACGGAGTGTATAATATCGAGCTGTGTTAGTCATTACTGAAAAAAATGACTCATGTGTTTTGTTCTGGAAATGCAGCCTTGATGAGAACCTCAGATGATCATTCAGATCTTTTATATTTTGTTAAATGCCTGGAAAATGCTTTTGAGGGTTTTATATACATTCTTGGCTTGTGTGCCACATCGGCGTACATCACCTGCAGTCATCTGGAGACCATGAAAGCAAATGTCTTTGGATATCAGACAGAAACATGACACATCAGAGCAGGATTTGGGTGCTAAGACTGACAAAGAAGATGGAGAAGTACACACCTCTCAAGAAATGTTCTGCCACATGCAGAAACAGCTCAGTGACTGCAAAGGTCACTAGTTTCTTGTTTCTTAGTTTATTTGCTGACACTGTGTAAATGGTAGAGATTCTAGTAGTGGGAGGATGACTGCATCTGGAAATGTTGAGTAAGGAGAAATGTTTTAAGGTTGTTTATTATTACAAAGTAAAAACACCTGTTATAGAAAATTGCCTTGTTAAGTTATGTCTTGGCATTGTATCAAATAAAGAAAGCTGAAGCTCTCTAGTCTTTTAATTATTGTGTCTTTACTATTCTTTCCTCCAGAAAATGTAGATTAGCAAGGTTTAGCCATATTCTCTTTTGCCCTGAAACTAAAAAAAGTGGGCTGCTGGTTATAATTGAATATATTCTTTATACAGGTAATGTAATGAGAAATAAATACATTTACATGTGTTTGTACATACATTACTTTTAATGAGAAATTACAATGACATTCTTGACTTATTTATTTGTCCTATAAATTATATAACTCAGTATTACTTTAGTAGCTGGATTGTTATGAATACTGGTTGGAAAAATTATTCATTTACCACGTTTGTTATGGTATTGCTATATGAGCTGTTTTCAGACTTTATTATGAAGACATTTCTTCTGTATATACCAAAATAACTTGACTGCCCATTCTTTCAAGCAGATCTCAGTCTCCTGTCTCTAATCCTTGCCCTCTTCCGTCTTATTTGTTGTGCAGCTCGTTTGCTTGGAGCCCAGATGTGTTCATCTCAGTTTGCGTTTACGTCTAGGTGTTAGGTATAATCTGAAGGCAGCTGGCTGTTCTACCAGAAAGGATGGGGATTTCAGCACTTTGGTGTGAAAATTTTGCTTTGCTGGGAATGGCTGCTGTTGTGTTACCTGTGTTAGGTTGCTGTTGATTCCTGATGTTGATCTAGATTAGGCCTGTCTTTCATCTTGAGGAGAAACATGAAGAATGACATTGTCTGGTTGAAAATCTGTGGGCATGAAGAACTGTTTGTTAAATTTGGATATTGATGGTTTGGAACTTGCACATTTGCACTATTAATAGCAATAGCCTTTCTGAAAATGGAGGAATATATTGTGTGTGAAATGTTTTGGTGCTTTGAATATAACTATTGAATTACTGTGTCCTGACTTGTAAAATTAATCTGCTGCTTCCAGTATGAGTGACATTAAGGTATACAAAGTGTAACCCTAAATGACCTTGAAGCATATATTGCCATTGGCTAGTGATTGTGGTTCTCTCTTAAAGTTTGTCCATGTCTGTGGTAAAGTTTTGTTACACAAAGACTAATTTATTTTCACATATGCCCAGAATCATGAAAGAAAAAGAATGGAAAGTTGTACACCAGTTCAAATTGTTGGGGTGTGCAACTTTATACATTATTTTTACTTTTATTCCATAAAACATACACAATGCTGGAAAATATGAAAAATAAGAGTTTTAGATTTTAATGTTTTATATATTGTTACATGTACCAGTTGTTTGTTTCTGAGCCGGGGTAGCTCAGTATAGTGACTGACTATGGACTGGATGACTGAGGTCTGATTTCTGATGGGCAGAGGATTTTTCCTCTAGCCTTTGGGGCCCACCTAGCCACCTATCTGATGGGCACCAAGGTCCTATCCTGGGAGAAAAGCGCGGTTGGGGGTGACGCTGACCACTCACCCTGAAGTGCCAAGGCCAAGAATGAATCCCCCCCACGCGCCTATCTGGCATGTAGTGGGACAGCTTTATTTCTTTTATCAGTTGTTTGTATGATCATGTTTTTTTTTGTTATTATGTTGAATTGAAGCCAAAATTTTTATTTCAAACACTCAATACCAAATTTCATGTAAATAAAATGAGTACTTTCAGAGATGAAATTTGTAAGCGGATGGACAGACACACACACATTGCTACATAAAGTATTCAGTTTACACATTTCTTGATGCAAATAACTTTCTTACATTGACCATAGTGTTGTTGGATACAGACACAAATTTCCCAGCTGTGAGGCAGAACTTCTTGTTGGCTGTAGCAGTGATTAAAATGAGGCAGCCCTGGAAAGAGACCGGAGTTCCTACCCAGTTGCTATTCCAAACTGCGTCTCCTATGCTGGTTGCCTGAAAATGTTTGCATTTATTAGAAAATGGCTCCACATGGGTTGAAAGTCAATAATTTGAACTCAGCTTCCAGAGAGACTGGTATTAAAATGGCAGTTACCTAAAATCACACTTGTTTTTCCAATGATTTTTCAATTATGAACTGTCCAAAAGGAAATTTGGTGAAAGATACTACTAATTTTTAATGCAGTCATTGAACAAAACACTAGCTTTCTTAAAATATGTATTTCCTCTAAAGTTCTTGCTGTTAGACTACGTGTGTCGTATTACAGGATCCATTTTCGATTTCCACAGAAGGCAAAGAAGAATTATGTGTGTTAGGCTTATCAGTGATTTTATTGTCTCTCATAATTCAGATGTTGGGTGCGCATGCTGTGTTTGATTTCCGGGAAGGGCAGTCCTTGATATTTCAGTTTTATACGACATACAGATCAGCTCTTGTACGAACCCATTCTCAAGTGGATACGGGGAGTAAGGCGGCTGGAGGGTGAAATTTCATATCTAAATACTTTCACTACAACTTCCCGGGTTTGGCAGGTGAAAGTCTCAGTTCATGTACGTGAGATATCAGGTTCTCAAAGCGGCGAGTCTTACGGGTTGTTTCGCCGTGTAGTCTGGTAGAAGTTTACCGACGTTTCAGAAGTGACATTTACGAAATTCTGAACGTTAGCATCACAGCTACCAGTCACTGTTGTTTCTGCGTGCTGACCGTGTTTCTTTCACAGTGAGACGTGGACACATCGTGTGAATCACGCTTA